GAATAGGTCACGAATGTTGATATCTGCATTAAGTATAGATAGAGTCACATCAAATAACGCAGTTTAGTTCAGTTCCCTTAACTTACCTGTAACTATTATAAGGAGTACAAATTGAATTAGTTTTCTTAATAAGTGCATTACTTGTAAATCACATGGTGTAAAAAAAACGAAATTTCAATATTACTATTTTGGCCCTTGTTAACTTGCCATTACAAGTCCTTGCACATGCTTTTTTTTCTTTTATAAATAAAAACAAATAAAAACTCACTATCTTTATCTTAGTACTTTATCTATAAATTGTTACTATTGTTATGCTGTGAACACTACAATAATAAGTCTGTCAAGTATTTGTAACACTTCGATAAAAAGTCTGTCAAGTGTGTAAACACTATAAAATTAAGCTTGTCATGTGTGTGAACATTGTGATAACAAGTCTGTCAGGTGTGTGTGAACATTATAAAAACAAGTTTGTTATGTGTGTGAACACTGTAAAAACAAGCTTCTTATGTGTGTGAACACTATAAAATCAAGTTTGTCGTGTTTGTGAACACTTCGATTACAAATCTATCAAATGTGTTTATGTGTAGTACAGTACAAAAACATGTATGTCAGAAGTAAGAATACTGCTAAAGCAAGATTTTCAAGTGTGTACCAAATATACACAAAAAGCTATTTTTCAATCTTTACCTTAGTACTTTATTTATAAATTGTTATGCTGTGTTTTTGACTGAAAAGTATTAACCTTAAAGTTAAGCCTAACTAACAGATAAACTGCCCTTACGTTACTTGTTACATGGAAAGTTTAAAGAAAAAAAATAAAAATTTTTAATGATCTTTTAAGATAACAACTTAAAAACGTTTCTTTGCCGGAGCTGGGAGCTGATGTTTTGGGCTGTTTTATTATTTTGATACTCGGATATTTTACCTAGAGATCCCATCTTTGAAACAGCTAGGGAGCTTAAGTACTAGAAACAGCTTATAGTTTTAAAAGTATCATTATGTCTTATGTACATGTATGTGATTCTTGCTAAACTTAATTAACATAACGTACAATAAAAAAAACAACTATACTGACAATACTTCATTTCATTAAACTCGTGTCGTGTACTTATTCCAGAGCTCGCTATTCATAAGAGGTAACTTCAGAAATAATTAGATAGTTTAGTGTACTGTCCAGAAAAAATCCGCTAAACTATAAAAAAAACAAACGAAAAAGTAAACAATCGGTCCTCAGAATCTCACAGTGTTTTCAAGATATGAGGAACACACACATGTTAGAATCGAACACTAACATATAGATTAACTTTTCATATCCTAATACAAAGGAAAAAGAAAACAAAAACTACATTAAAACTGATGTTAAATTTCGTACTACTTATTCATTTGGGGAAGCTGTAAATTTATTTTTTATTCAAACTAGGTTCCACCAGACCAGACAACACGTAATGGCAACGAGTTACTGAACCTGACACATAAAATCCAAATTGTTTTGAAATACTAGTTTAAAAAGAAATGCGTATTTACATAATTTTACAATGTAACCGAAAATATTTAAATACACATATTTTTTTCTGTAAAGTATTAATCCGCTACAATTCAAAATTTGTCTCTTTGACAGTCGACAAAACATCAGGTAGGAAATACTACTACTGAAAATTGGTGCACGATAGATGAGGCAGGTTAGTTTCAAGACCAAGCAGTTCTTCTAAACAAAGGATTGTGTTCTCTTCTTTTACTTGAAGACTTAAGATTTTTGTCTAGTTGTCTCAATTTCTTGAAGTAGTTGGGATGTATATCAACACGAGGCCATTTTTCACATATAAATCTATGTGCATTATCCAAGTTCATACCATGAAACTGCATTAAATACTGAACGATCATCGCAGGTCCTCGCGAGCGCCCTCTAAAGCAGTGAACGAGAACTTTTCGGTTAGCTTTTCTTGCACCCTCGATGAACTTATTGACATCATCGAAAAAGACAGAGATATTGTCCCTCCCTTCTTGAGACAAACCAATGCATAGTCTAGTGCGGAAATTTTGTGTTTGCGAAGGAGAAATAGCTTTTCTATAACTTGAGACATCCGTAAAGTCCACATTGCTTACATCTACTACAGACCTGACTTTAAATTTATTAAGTAAGGAGTCATTATAGGCTGCTTCGATGCTACCAATGAAGAGGAAATCAAGAATCTGTCCAATGTCTGGATGGTACATATCAATTATTGCATCCGATGCAATATTCGCGTATTTATTACTGCAATCCATATCTCCAACTGGAACAATAGGCGTTCTGTCTGACGTCATATCTTTTGAGTGATGCTTTTCTGTTTTGGAAACGTTTGACAAAAGCTGTTGATGAGATTTTTCATCCAAATATGTCATGTTCTCACTATCAAGGCCAAGGAAGAGAGATTCATTTGGAAGTGACAAGGGTTTCTTACCAGAAGTTTTTGCAGAAGTCAGAAAACGAAGTTGTCGTTTTACCCTTCTTTCCACTGGTGAAATTTTCAGCTCCTCAAATCGAAGAGAATCTTTCTTGGAAAACGAAGTCGTTGAAACAGTAGACGTGGAGGTGGGAGTCATACATGTTACGAAGGAGGACTTTGAAAAACTGTCAAAGTTAGATGGGGAAATAGCGATGGTGGGAGAAGCTACAGAACCACCAAGTTTTCGTTGAATTTTGCCTTCTAAATTCAAGTTTTTTTGGGATAATGTGTTTAAGGGAAAAGAAAAATCAAAAAAAGAGACACTATTGGGTGATCTACATTTTATATCTCTTGTAGGAGATGTGGATTCTATGTCACTTATTTGGTTAAAATCAGGACAGGAAGTCCTTGAAGAACATCTTTGAGTCCATGGTGGAGTTAAACTATCACTTTTAGTATTCTGGTTGTGGCTGACATGTTGAGTGTCCCACCTGACACCACACTGAATTGCTATCTAAAATGTAGAGATAAAGAATAACATGTTAGCATACAAAAATCTGTTTACATTCAAGTAATAGTAAGTGTATAAAACAACAAACAAACAGAAAATGCGTCGAAAATATAAAATCATTAAGAATCACATGATAAAAATAAAAATTTTGTAAAAAATCCAGAAACGTTATTTCAACTATTATCAGTGCAATCAGCAATGAACAATAGTTAAAAGGTACAAATCAAACGATATCATTTACACAGCTTACCACTAAGTAATTGGAAACCTTAAACTTAGTAAAGACCACATAATAAAAACAGCCATTCCATCAAGAAAAGGATCTCGAGAAGAAACGGTAAAATCACGAGGTAGATTGTTGGAAACTTGCAATACCACTATCTATGCAGTGAATGGATGACAATACAGTTTCAATTACGTCGAAAAACAATAGTTTCTATAAAGCTCGAGTACCCAAACCAACCTAACGAACTCTTTGTGTTGAGAAGGTAAGTGTGAAGAATGACCAACATCAAACGGATGCTACTGTTCCAGGAAAAGTACAAATTTGACCCAATACCATTAGAAGTTAACTTCATAGCGTAGGCTGCAATGGCAGAGTTGCTAGATAGCGGTCATATCTTGCAACAGGAAAGACTGCACATTGTACCTCGACAGCAGTGGGCATCACAGATGCTATCACACTCTTCCGCGTTTTGGAACACTGTTTTATGGTCCATCTTTCATCGTTCCCTGAAACAAACAGTTTCAAGGGATCCCAGCCACTTCATCCAATTTTTTTTTTTTTGTCCAGGAATGGAGTGTAATTTTAGAGTATCAGATTTCAGATCTTATGAACAGGATGTGAAATATATTTTTGCCTGAAATATTGCAAAGGACAGGTCCACTAAATAAAATTGCATTCTTCATTCAAAGCTGTCTTGTTTTTAGTTTATCAGACTCTATTCATTATCAGTGTAAATGCAAACAAGACTAACACTACACCAAACTTGTAGTTTGTTTGTTTTAGAACAAAGACACATTGGACTATCTGCTGTGTCCACCGCAAAGAATGAAACCCCGTATCTTACCGTTATAAGTTCGTGAACTTACCGCTGTCCTTTCGTTCACTTTTACCCAATAGGATTATTCTGTGTACATATGACTAGATTTTAAAATTTACGGTATTTGAAATATATGTATACCTGTGAAAACTTGGAATAGAAAAAGACAGAACCTGGTTTGCTTCTGTAGTAGCCTGGTCAATAAACTTTACCATTCGAAAAACCTTTGACTATCAAGCGCTTTTTGATATGTGTGTGGGTCTCGTGCTGTATGACAGACTATCTTTTTTGTGTTTTCTACACCTAAAATAAGCAAGAAATAGAACATTCATTATGGGACTCCGCTTTTATTGCAACCTATAAATGATATATATTGAAGTGCCAAAAATAGTTGGACATTCCCTGAACATATGGCATGGTCTACTCAGCATGGTCAGAAAGACATTTAACCTGTTATAAGTACAGAAACACGTATATGTTAGCTTGTGACCTAAGATGCAGAACTAACCTTTACCTAAAAGCGATTAACACATGTTTACGACTTTGCGATATCCGGTTAACACGGGTATGACTAAGTTAGAAGAATTATCTGAACATACCTGAATATATATATATATATATATTATACTAGTCTCAGTAGAGTAAAATTAATAGATATTTCAGCTACGACACACATACCCATAGATTCGAGACTGAATTAATAGGCACAGATTAATAATAAACAATGTAGACTTTAGGAGCATTTATGTTTTCTTAGTAGCATGTACTAAATATATATAGATATTGAGCAATAGGTGCCCTTAAATGAAATAACAAGAGCGAGGATATCTAGATCTGTGTATTCTTTTGTTATAATCGGTAGTGCCTATAATAGGCTACTACATAGCTGTAGAAGAATACATAAATTGTTATTTTTGCCTATTTTTCATAAGCTATTTATTGCTTTAGGGACATTTTTATACATGAAATATATGGGTCTATGTATGTGGTGTGTGTGTGAGTCTATATAATAAAATACATGTTGAACGTTTTTATATAAATTACTTGAAAGTACATGATTCAAGTGGGTCTATTTCAAGTTTAGACAAGCTACTGAAAATATATCTATTGTAATTTTTCAACAAGGCATTTAAAATAAATATATTGTACTTTTTAACCAGCTATTGAAAATATATTCATTTTATTTTTGAGGTGTTGAAAATATACCTATTGTATTTTTCCACTACATATTGAAAATATGTCTGTTGTAGTTTTACACAAGTTATTGAAAATATATCTACTGTATTTGTTCTGTTTGTTTGTAATTAAGCACAAAGCTACACAATGGGCTATCTGTGCTCTGCCCACCACGGGTATCGAAACTCGGTTTCTAGCGTTGTAAGTCCGCAGACATACCGCTGTGCCACTGGGGGGTATTGTATTTGTTAATAAGTATTGAAAATATATTTTATTGATGGACAACAGGTAAGTAAAGTTTCATAAAAAGAACAAACAACTAGAAGGTTGATAATGGCTGGAGACGGCTTGAATGGGTAATGAAGAAAAACTTTAATATAAGTTTAGCATAACAGCAAATGTACAATGTTTCGACAAGGTTTTGTCATCATTACCCATTCAAGCCGTCTCCAGCCATTATTAGTCTCAAAGTGGGTTCCTCGTCATCGAACTAGAAGGTTGGTTAAACAGCAAATGATGTCAATGTGCACTCGCTAGATTTAGAGGGTGGGCTTCTCTAAGGATATGTTCCAAAATTCTTGGGTACGGTCCTGATAACACTATTTGTGCGAAAGACACGTAAATGCCCTGAATTTCAGTAACCAAAAACGTCGAAAATCGACACATGTGGATGAAACCAGAAATCTAGTAGTAGTAAAATACCTCAAAACTCACCCAGGTTAGACTAATGTTCTGTTGAAGCACCAGAAATATACACTTGAATATCATGTTCACAACAAATTCACGACGACTCTACTCCAATCAGTGTGGCCAAATTTTAAAGGACCACTTGTGATATCAGATCAGTTTTCTCATCATGAATGTGGGGAGGAAAGGAAACAAATTCTGCGTATCTGGTGTAAAAGCCTGTCCTCATTGTAATTTTGCGAAGATATGAAACCGTTTCGCTCAGTTTCGAAACAATACATGCAGAGAAGTTGAAATATTAGTGCTACATCCTATCAAGATATTGAGGAATCCTTCTGTGAATACTTATCCACATATTTTGGTAGGAGAGTGCATATAACCTGGCATATTTTTAAAATTTTCGACACTAAGATATTAAAAATAACTCTTCAAATACAACCATTTTTTAATTAAAAGGAATGGAGCTAAAATGATTGAAATAATTAATTTTCAAGAGTATAAAAATATAAGTTGTTTTATTGGATAAAATTAATAATATCTATAAAAATATTTGTTACCAAACTACAATGAATACAAAGTATTAGGGTTTAAAATGAGTGTCTGTTGTACCTGTACAAGAATGCAATGCCTAACATGATGCAATTTAGTAATGTAGTGTTTTTAAGATGTAGCGTGATATTTATAATAAAAATAAGAAACTCGTTTAGCCTTGATAATACATTATAGAACACTCATATCATTGCATGAGATAAACGACTAGATGCTATTAGGGAGATGTCGTTTTACAGCATAAACCATTATAAAAATAAATAGAATGCAGGAAATAAAAATTATAAAAACATACTTCGCAAACTATATTGAAGTTATAAAAGTGATCATTCAGAAAGCACACATGCATCTGCATTCCTGGTCCTAAATTTTATTTCCTACTTAACATACGTTTTGAGATCGATCTGTTTGGTTTCACCACATACATATTTCATTCTCGTTTTATAGTTGATTACTTTTCCAGCAAATGGATACGTCTACTCTACTATAACGTTTAAGGTTGAAGAGCTGAAAAAAGCGCCGTTATTGAAGTGTAATGTAAACGTTCCTATTCATCACTTGCTTTAAGACTTGCCAGTTTTTAGCCACGTGGAAGTTCAAATAATCTAAGCTCATTTTCTACAATATTTCACTGTTAACTGAATGGAAACATTTGATGTTTGTGATATTATACCAGTTCTAGCTTCAAGTGTATTTAAAGAATTAAAACGTTTAGATTCTCTTGTTGCCTATGCTATAAGATATAGAAAATAATTCAGCACAATTATACGCTCAAATGTCTCAAGCGTGTCCTAAAACTTAGGATATCGGAATGAGAAGACTAAGATCTTGGACTCTAGGTGTGGTGTTACCAAAAACACTTTGTGTTTTCATCTGTGTATTCGTTATAAAAGTGACAAAATATCCAGAATATCCCTGTATTCGGTTAAGAGAAACCACTTCAGGCAGCGGTTGCTAACAACTAGTTGCTTACCTCTGATCTATAGTTCAAAATTATGACCACTGTCTATAAACCTTAAAAACCTCTGATTTGGTCACTCAGCCCATTGCGTACAATAAAGAGTCTTTTAGGTGAAAAACGTAAGCAATCATTAAATTAAGTTCTCACCCTACCATCATTTCTGTGACTTATAGCTTTACATATACAGAGGTTAAGTACGTGATATTAAAACAGTTTTGGAGCCTCACCAC